CTAACTAGTTATATGACCTTGGATGAACTAGTTTACCTTTCAATGTCTGATTCTTTATTTGTAAGAATGAGATAGTAATTGTTTCTCATAATGTAGTTGTTGTTAATATAGTTATTACATATATTAGGAAAGTATTAAAAATACATCCTACACTTAATATAGGCTACCTGGTATCATTATTCTGTGTGTTATTTCTTCTATAGAATAAAAGAAAGGGAGAAATAGTAATCCAGGTAACAAGTCAACTTTATTCCAATTCATAAGTGAAAGCAAGGAATCATCTATGGACTCGCTCCCTGGCTATCTGCTTCTGGGCATTTCTGGGGCTACAATATCCCAACACTGCAGGACTGAGGCTATCCCTGGAGAAAGATGGCCTGACTTACATACTTTCTAGAAGCTGAGGGTTAAGAATGGATGTATGTGAGGAGGAAAATATGGAGAGGTCAGGGCACTTCAAGGAAAAGTTCACCCCAAAGGAGAAAGGACCAAATTCAGGATATTAATTACACTGGGAACAAACTAGGTACTTTATCGCTTTTTCCAAGTCTGGGTACCATCTACATAATACAGGCGACTGGTACCATCAGCCTTGGTGCAGGAGATAGGGAAACACTGGGGCAAAACCTATATAATCCCAGGAAAGGGGCAAAATCTGCCAATGAATGCCCAGGCTGAGGATGGTAGGCCAGGAGGCAGCTTTGGAAAAGAGGAAAGGAAAGCAGAGTCATAAAATCCTCCTGCTTTGTTCAGTGAGAAGCAGATGCCTGCCTCCCCCTTTCCAATTGAACCCCATATTTCCAGTAAATGACCACGTGAATCCCATTCTATTCACCCAGAGCACCATAAAATGTGGAGTCTTTTCCCATTGTTGCATGTAGTGGTAGACCCAACCTGATCTTTTCTTAAAATTGGGAGCCATCTCGCCACAAAGCCATGAAAAGATAATTTCGGCTTTACTATAAATTACTGCAAATTCTGAACCTGCTTGGAATGCCTGCCCTGCCTTGAACTCACCCATGCCTGGCTCTCTGACCAGATAGCAGCCCTCTCTGAAACTTTAGTGACACCTCATAAATATTGGCCTTCCCTGGCCAGACAACGACCCTCTCTGAGGCTCTAATGATCCTCATAAATTCTGATGTTGGGGCCAGCAAAACAATGTAAACTACCATTCGTGTGATGCTCGTCAGAGTTCTGTTATCTGTAACCGCCCTTTGTGTAACTTTCTGGGCTATAAAGCTGGGCTGCAGGAAAGCTGGGGTGCTGTCTTGTTCCCACGGTTTGGGGTGGGAGAGGCAGCCCGGCCGGTCGAAATAATAAGCTTGCTTTAATTTGATTTTAATTGGAGTCAGTGGTCTTTTCTTGCGTCTTGGTCTAACAGTAGGCCTCAAAAATGACTGAGTTCTTTATTTTTGTTTTTGTAAAGATAAAAATAAAGTTGGTAAAGATGGGAAACTGAAGTTTGGTGTTAGAAGTAAAATTTGAATCCACTGCTGGTTCCAAGGATCATGTTCTCCCAATTACACCTTGCTCACTCCCTCAGTGAAAAGTTTAAATTTTTACCCCCACAAATCCAATCATCCCGCATGCAACCACAGTCCCAGGAAAAGGAGGGAAAATTGGACAAAGGAGGACTCAATAACAACAATAACAGGATATGCTGAGCCCAGCAGAGTTCTCTGATTATCGTACACCCTAGTCACCTGCTTTCTATTACGCCTGTTTACAAGTCAGGAAGTGAAGTGAGGGGGAAATTGACAAGCAAGCAAACTCTAGAAGTTTCCCTTGGCGGTGTAGTTTTCTCACATTTTGTTATCAGCAGGACAGAGACACGTCAAGGTTCCAGATAAGATGAGTGTCACACCAGATTGGAGGCCCAGTCAGAGAAATGTAATCATGAATGCTGGCTCAGCAGCCATAGAACCACAGGGACACCAGCAGCCCCCTTACCTGCGAGTCCCTCCCTGATTCAAGGACTCACATGGGCTCACAGCTTCATCAGGTCTAGCACACAGTGGAGGGGCAAGTACCTGGTTCACACCCTGGCCTGAAGGTGTCCCCTCCTAGGGTTGTTCTGAGAGATACAAAGAGATGACCTCTGTAAAGCACCAGCCCAGGGCAGGTTTCACTCACGTCACTTGCCAAGGGCCATTCTAGGCTTCTCCAAAAGGTGACAGACAGAGCCCTGCCAGCTCAAGACTTTAAATATTTCAAATCATATTCCTTCCCCAGTCTCTTAAAATATTTCAAATCATATTCCTTCCCCAGGCCACCAGAAAGCACCACCAAAACATCAATCTGACCTTGTCATAGAAATAATGATTTGAAAGGAAAAAAGGTTCGGAATACAACTTTAAACTTGCTTTTGTACCATCACACCACACACCTGCTGCGTGTTGCTCATTCTCGTAGTTTAGAGATCCTCTAGTTGTCTTGCAAAATAGCACATTCTGTGCACTGTGCTTGGGGAAAGAGATTTTCATCATTCTCAGGTTGAAGCTTCTTATCTACTAATCCTAGCTGACCTTGAACACCCTGAAGTTCTATTTAGGAGGTTTGGTTCAGAGTTAGTTCCTCTTCTGAGACAAATACCAGATGCTTTTTTTCACCATTATCGACATGTAGTACCTTTACAATGTTGGGTAACCACACCATTATCTAGTTACAGAACATTTTCAGCAACCCCAAAAGAAACTGCATACCTCCTAAGCTTCACTCCCCATTTCCCTTCCCAGCTAGATCCTGGTAACCACTAATAGACCTTCTGCCTACAGAGATTTGCCTATTCTGGATATTTCATGTAAGTGGAAATATACCAATAATGACTTTCAAGAGCCAAAATGAGCCCATCTGAGGTTCTGGTTTGTGAGGCCCCGGGCTAATCAATCAAGAATCCCAGAGCAGAACCTCTCTGTCAGATGGTCCCCAGTAAGTGATTTTTCTCATTCCAGGAAAGATCCCTGAACTGCCTTAGTGGTTCCTATGACTTGAAAGCCCAATTTCTCTTTTCCAGGAACCTTTCCTGACCCAACCAGGCCTGATGCACCAGAGTCAACAACTCCAAAATTATGAGGGAGACATTTTGTTGTAAAGAATAAGCTCTCTATGGGCTGGGATTGTGGCTCAGTGGTAGAACGCTTGCCTAGCACATGTGAGACACTGGGCTTGATCCTCAGCACCACATCATAAATAAATAAATAAAAAAATAAAGTTATTAAAAAATTAAAAAGAAGCAGCTCTCTGGTAGTATTTATAACCAAGGAATTATTTGCTGTTTCTTGAGGAATGAGTATAGGATGAGACAGAGCTCTGAGGAATTTCAACACAAGAGTCTGAATAGAGGAAGTATTGATAAAGGAGACTAAAAAAAATTGGCCAGAGAGATAGAGAAAAATCCAGGATTGTGCAATATCCCAGAGGCCAAAGGAAAACATGAGAACAAACAAGAAGCAAGCTTCATCAGAGTAGTTCTTGCAGTGAGCTGCTTCAGTTAGAAACCCAATTGCTGTAGATTGCAGGTGGACTAGGGAAGTGAGGGGGTGGAGACCCTGCAGTAATCAACACTTTCATGAGCTTTGACTATAAATGAAAGTAGAGAGAGTAAGTCGTATTTAAAGAAGTGCATGAAGGAAGGCTGTTTTGTTTTTTTCCTACGCTTGTTTTTGTATGTGAAAGAAAAGAGCACATTTTCCTGCTGAGAGGAAGTTTTCCATAGAGGAGCTACTAAGAGGTGGGAAAGAGGATAACCACATATTGTACCCTCAGAAAGCAGAGCAAGATCCAGTACAGAGATCTTCAAAGGTGGACCTGCACCAACCATGAGAAACTGCAGAGACCACCGAGAATACAGTCTGTCAAACATATCTGAAAGTGGGGAAACTCCTGATAGAGACTGTGGAGGGAGAAGAAAATGGCAGGTGGACGGTGCAGGCTGGGGCTCCAGGACAACATCAGCCTCTTCCCTATAACAGTCTGTTCTCACATCAAAATGACTTTCCATAAGTGGTTTTAGAGAAGCAATTGGTGCAGAGCCAGACTGGCTCTTGTTGACACTTCCCTCAGAGACTTTCTCACAGCTGTCCGAGGGATAGACAAAACCTCTTCTGAGAATCTCTCACTGTGTAAAAGGGACATTAATGAGCAGAAAAGCAGGATTAAAACAAGAGCCAGAAAACAAGATTCCTGACTCCCAAATTCTGATCCCAGCCCTTCTGACAGGGTGCCATCCATCAGATGGAACAGGCTTAGAGAGGGGAGCCAACTGGGTAGATGGAGGAAGTGATCAAAGTGCACAGAGCCTAACGCACGGGAAATACAAACAATATTTCTGTTTTAAAAAATAAATAAATCTGGAGGTTTGTGAATCATAAATTCCCCTGTCCCTGTAGGAGGTATATCCTGAGATTTGCTTGGCCTCTCCAGGAGAGTTGGCTCCATTTCCAGTGAGATTACAAAAAAGTAAGGGCCAAGCAGGAACAGAGAGGACATTGTCACATCTCCTCTTGCAAAAGTTAAATTATCAGCTGTGGCACTGGTGACTGGATGTCATAGGCCAAAGCACAGAGCACTCAGAAATATTTGGGGAAAGAGACCATAGGGATGTGAGGCATGCAGCACCACCTGGAACCTTCATCCATTCTGCCCATGCTTCTCAGTCTGAGGCCTGTCCAGGCCTGTGCCATGACTTCAGTATTTATAATCCTACCCAATCCCATTGAAACTCTCCCCTCCTATCTTCTTTGGCATTGCCACCTCAGCTATGATATGATTATGTTGTGATTATACAGGGGAAGAGTTGGGGATGGCAGAGAAGAATGGTGTTAATTCTCAGAACTAGTCACAATCCTCAGAAGAAGAAAGAAATGTATGTGGCCAAGTGGTTTTTGCAAAGCCAGGGCCTTATCTCTCTCCTAATATAATTGCCATAGTTACAAGAGTCAGTGCACTTGTTTGTACTATCTGTAAAGAACTGAGAGTAAATATTTTTGTCTTTGCAGGCCAGGAGTCTCTCTGTCCCTGCTACTCAACTCTGCCATTGTTGCTTGAAAGCAGCCATCAACAAAAGGTAAATGAATGAACTTGACTGTGTTCCAAGAAGACTTTGTTGATGGATACTGAAATTTGAGTTTCAGATAATCACATATGTTATAAAATATTATTATACGTTTTTGTTAAACATTTTTAAAATGTAGGGCTGGGATGTAGCTTGGAGGTAAAGCACTTGCCTAGCATGTGTGAAGCCCTAGGTTCAATACTTTGCACCAAAGAAAAGGTCATCATTCTCAGCTCATAGGTCATATAGAAAAAAAAATATCCATCTAGGTATGACTTATGAGTCAGCATGGTTTCCATGGTTAACTACATGATTTCCACCAAGATGCCTACAGGCCTAAATTCTTGAAGTTGAGTGTTCTGGTTTCCCTAAGGAAACATCTGTCAGCACTGAGAGCCTCAGTTTCTGGAGTCAAGGGAGAACTTTTTTGTCTCAACACACAGTTATTGCCCAAGGAGTCCCTGTCATCTTTCTGAGATTCTGAGGAGGATGGACCACAAAGTCAATTATTTACAAAAACTGTGGATGGAAGATTCAAGATGGAGGATTAGAAGAAGGCCACATTTCCAGTTGCTCCATGGTTCAGGATTCAAGCAGTGGGAGTACTGCTTCTTAGCAAGGTAGATAAAGAGGGAATTCACTGAATTTCTCTGAAATTCAGTGAAATTCACTGAATTTTAGAGAATTTCGGTCAGAGTCTCTTAAATACTCAGAAACTTGGGTGCCTTGAACAAAGTACAAGAAAGAGTACTTTGAATTCAATGCACTGGTTTTGGCAGTGACTGTGGCTTAGTTCACCACAGAGGAGAGGGATGCCACAAACAGAGAGAGAAACACAGTGGACAAATATGAAAAACCTGTAGATCAGAAAAGCAGCCTGGACCTAACTTATCCAGAGCCTGCACAACAAACTACCATTTGAAGAGTGCTCTGTGTTTCTCAATTGGAAGGAAGAGAACTGAAGAAGGAGCCAACTTGAGGAGGCCATCTTGCTGCTGTGGGAACCTGGGAGATCATAGCAAATATTGCACCTACTGTGTGGCCTAGGGTACTCCTAGCAAAACATGAATGAAACAGGCACAGAGAAGGTTATAGAGGGATTCGAGTCAGAAATATACAGGGGATTGCATTTTACTTTCCCTTTGAATATGATGGTCCATCTGACAAGCTGAGGAGGGTGAGGAAACTGAACAGGTGGTCAGGAGCACACTCAGGGACTAAACCTGGGAAGGCTGTATTTGTGGGTAACAGAGTGTGTGAGACCCATGGAGGGTTGGCTCCTCTGTCCCACAAGTAAAATCTCTGGGGGCTTCTGAAATTGGTGTCTGCCTGGCCCTAGGGGTATGTTGATCTAATCTCTCCAGAACCGACACAAACCAACAAAGTCCCTAAGGCCTGACTGGAGCTAAGCCACAGCTTCTGAAATTATCTTAGAACTTTGCAGTAGCCCCACCCTTGGAGTGTATCCATCTGGTCTGTCTGGACAAAACTTCAATAAATGGTACTTTCCATTCCATCCTACCTTATTCTGGTGAGAAAAGAAGTTGAAAGGTTTTTCAACCAGCCTCAGTTTTAGGCCACTCCAGCTGCCAGTTCAGTGAGCACACAAAAAGAGGAAGTAGATAACGATCCCCAGCCCTTGATCATGCTCTCTCTCTTTCTCTTTCTTGGTTCATAACCCAAGAAGAAATAGAAAGAAGGACAGCTGGGCATAGGCAGTGTCTACAGTTTAGAACACCTCAGTGGAGACAATTTCTTTCATTTTTTTTTCGTGTGTGTGTGTGTGTGTGTGTGTGTCTGCCTGTCTGTCTGTCTGTCTGTGTGTTTTCTTCCTGTGCTGATTAATTTGTGTATGGAGCCAGGAGAATTAAACACACTCAAGCATTAGCAATACTTTAATACCAAGAATAGAAGAGACAAAACCCCCAAACTAACATTTGGGCCCCTAGTAGAAACAGCAATGTGGGGCCCCCAGGTCCACTCAAAGGGATATACACTCCTACAGCAAAAAGAAAGAGGATTAACATAAATACTGTGGATACAATACTTACAAGGAGTCTCAATCTAGAACATTCTAGGACGTTTTGGCGAAAGAAGGATATGCCCTAAAAAGGTCTATGCATAAGAGTGGAAGAGAAATCCATCCCATCACATGCATAAAACCCAACACAAGAATACAGGAAACATGAAAAAAAAAAAAAAACACAAGGTAACATGACACTTCCTAAAGTTCATATTTCACTTGCAGCTGACTCCAAAGATATTGAAGTGGATTAAATACCAGATAAAGAATTCAAAATTATAATTACAAAAATGATCAATGAATTGCAAGAGAACACAGAAAAACTACTGAATGAATTAAACAAGTCAGTATAGGAAATGAATGAGAAATTCAATAAGGAAACAGAAATATATAAAAAAAACAATTATAAATAATGATGCAATAAGTTAAAAAAATGCAGTTGACTGTCTCTGATAGAATAGGCTGTGCTGAAAACAGAATCTCAGAGCTGGAATACAAAGTGATCAGACTTGAACAGACTACATTAAAATAAAAGAAAATAAGTAGCCATGACCAAATATGCAAAAATATGCTGGAACAACAATAAAAGACAAAATTTAAGAGTTATTGGAATTGAAGAGTGTTATGAGATGCAAGCCAATGGCATGGATAATCTCTTCAGGGAAATCATAACAGAAAAATTCCCAAACATTGAGAATGAGATGGACATCCAGATACAGGAATCATTCAGAACCCCAGATAGACAAGATCAAAAAAAGAACCTCTCCATGACACATTATAATTAAAATGATTTATATATGGAATAAGGATAGAATTTTAAAAGCCTTGAGAGAAAAGTGTCAAGTCAATTTAGAGATAAGCCAAATAGAATTATTTTTGATTTCTCAGCATAAACTCCAAGAGGGCTTGGAATAGCCCTGAAAAAAAAAAAAAAAAGTCAACCAAGATTGCTATATCCAGGTAAGTAATCCTTCAGAATCACATAAGAAATAAAAACCATCCAAGATAAGCAGAAATTAAAAGAATTCATAGCTACTAAGCTGACCTACAGAAAATACTTAAAGAAATACTCGATATAGAAGAAATCACAGTCAATTTCCAGATCTCACAAATGGGCAGATAACATTTGAAAAGTAATTAAGCAAATGAGAAACAGGACCAAATTAAAGATAAAAAATAAATCAAAATGGCAGGAATTAATAATCATCTCTCTATACTAACATTGAATGTAAATGATCTCAGAATGGATTTAAAAACAAGACCTCGCTATATGTTGTTTACAAGATACTCAAATTACAGACAAAGAAATCCATAGGCTGAAAATGAAAGGACATAAATTTATATACCATGAAAATGGAGCTCCAAAACAAGCAGGAATAGTTACTCTCATATAGAACAAAGTATACTTGAAGCCAAAATTAAACCCAAGAGAAAGAAGGTGACTTCATCCTGGTAAAGGGAACAATCCAACAAGAAGAGATAACAATAGTAGATCTCTATGCCTTAAATGTTGGTGCACCTAATTACATAAAATACACACTACTTGAACTAAAGCCTCAGTTGGACTCCAGTACAATGATAGTGGGTTATTTCAACACAATTCTCATCAATAGATAGGTCATTCAGACATAAGTCCATTTGATTTAGAATATATTTTAGGTTTTAGAAGTTTTTTACTAGCTTAACAGACATCTATAGATTATTTTATCCAATAATAGCCAAATATATTCTTCTGAGCTTTTCATGGAACCCTCTCCAAAATAGACCATATTTTGACCCACAAAGCAAGTCTTAGTGAGTATTTAAAAAACCCATATAATTCTTTGCATCTTATCTGATCACAATGGAATGAAATTAGAAATCAATTTTCTAAAGACCCTACAGAAACTATCTAAACAAAAGGAGATTAAACAACACATTTTTGAATGATCAAAGGGTGATAGAAGATATTGTAAAATTCTTAGAATCAAATGAGAATAGTGATACAACCTCTGGGACACTATCAATGTGGTTCTAAGAGGAATGCATGACTTCGACTGCCTATATAAAAAAATCAGAAACATCCCAAGTAAACAACCTAATGCTGCATCTCAAGGTCCTTGATAAACAAGTACCAATCAATTTCAAAACCAGTAGAAGTGAATAAATAAGATCAGAGCCAAAATCAATTAAATAGAGAATAAAAAAATACAAAGGATCAATTAAATGAAGAGTTGGTTCTTTGAAAAGATAAACAAGATAGATAAGCCAAACTAACTGAGAGAGAGAGAGAGAGAGAGAGAGAGAGAGAGAGAGAGAGAGAGAGAAAGAGAGAGAAGACCCAAATTAATAAAAATTAAATGAAAAAGGAGAAATTACCACAGACATCCCAGAGGATCATTAGACTATTTTGAAAATTTATACTCCAATAAATTGGAAAACCTAATAGAAATCGATACATTTCTAGATATATACAACCTGTCAAAATTGAATGAGGAGGCCACAGAAAACCTAAGCAGACAGATAACTAGTAATGAGATAGAAACAATAATACAAAGCCTTCCAACTAAGAAAAGTCCAGGACCAGATGGATTCTCAGCTGAAGTCTACCAGACCTTTAAAGAATAACTAAATAACTAATAAACTAAATAAATAACTCCTTAAAATATTACATGAAATAGGGATGGAACACTTACAAAATTCATTCTATGAAGCCAATATCATGCTTAGACCAAAACCACATAAGGAAACATCAAGTAATGTAAACTACAGACCATTATCCCTGAATAATTTACATGCAAAAATCCTTAGTGAAATATTAGCAAATCATATTCAACAAAAGATTTTACATCGTGATCAAGTTGGTTTTATCACAGGATTGCAACAATGTTTTGACATATGTGCATCAAATGTCATTCACCACATGAATAGAAAGAATTAAGGGGAAAAATCAGTAATCTCAACACATGCAGAGAAAGGCTTCAACATTTCAGCACCCATTCATGACAAAAACACTGAAGAAACTAGGGAAAGAAGAAACT